GGACCTCATGTCTGAGGGCTGAAGGATTGACAGGTTTTGAATGTGGTGAATCGACCCTCGGTTACTGCAATGGGGCGCGTTTGCTGAGTGGGAACAGGTGTCGAAAGGGGAAATTGAGAAGTAGAGGAATTTTTCCTTGTAAAATTTCAGGTTCCTCGGAAGACGGAGGTGGATTCTGGATCACCGACGGTCATCCTTCTTAAGTAGAGCGGATTTGTTCTTAAACAATCTGAAATAATTAAGTTATTGAGCAAGAAATGAATTTGCACTACAATTTTCACCTTCCTCTTTTTAGGGCTATAACTTTCTTCATATTCGAGCTTTTGCGCCGGAGTTATTTGAACATAGGATGTGCTAGAAAGCTTCGAGCATGCGCTTGCACTACATCCCTGCCTTGGTGTGCGCCACGCCTCGGTCGCCTTCTGATTCGCTGATTCATTTGAAAGCTCATTCAGAAGGAAGCGGCTTACAGATGCTCTAGCATCAATTATCTTGCGTAAACGTAATGTGGTGACTATTGTCCATGTTGTCTTAGGCAATACTCCAGCTACACTTTAGTTTCAAATGTGGTTTCGTGGGTGGACCCATGTCATGGTGGGAGCACTTTTTGAACGATGCTACATGTCTTGCAGCTGCTGTTTCTGCAAGTCTTCCTTTCTCATGCTCTTCCTGAAACATGGTTATGATCAGTAGGGAGATTACCACAAATCCCACTGCCGGCCACCGAGAGAGTACGACCCCCCCCCTCCGGGTCCATCCAAGTACGACCCCCCGTTGCTACTTGTAGCAACATAGGGTTGACCCTGGTTCTAGGCAGCGTTTCTCGTTTTTTTTTCTTCCGTGCATCAATGATCATCTCCACCTTGGCATCCAGTTGTCTTCCTTTTCGTCGTAGAATCCGGATAAGTGGGCAATCATTATTGCAATCCTCAAAATTCCATTTAGAGAAGTTCCAGAAACCGGAAAAAAAAGCAGGATAATCGTAATGGGTTCCGCAGTAAGCCCTAAAGAGGGGCGTAGCCTGCATCGGAACTTATGACTCACTTCCGATATTGCAGAAACCGGGAAAAAAGTATGTGGGCTATCAGAGGAGAGGTAAACCATCATCGTTGGTGAGACGTGCATCGTGGTGGCGAAATTCGCCACGAAACATACAGTTAGGTTCCAAGAGAGCCCAGAGACAGGGAAAAAAGGCTGGTGGTCGACGAAGAAGACATTAAAAGCTATTGGTGGGAGGAGCGTAAAAGGTGGTGGGAGGACTTTGCCATGAAGCATAAAAAATCGATGTCCCTGTTTTCTACCACAGCAGGCTCGTACGATGCACGCGAGTGCGTGCGCAACCGAACTGGTTTGTCCATGACTGCCCGTAGTGCACGTGTCAAGCAGCGGACAACCAGCAATTGTCTTCTAAGAATCGAGCTATCCTTGCGGACAGGTTTCCAACCGGATCTGGGATTTTGACTTACCTACGAAAAAGTGGGGGAATTACCTATCAAATCACAACAACCACATCATTACCTCATCTTCGAACCTTTGGGATGTAGCGCCCATGTTAGCAAAGATCCTAGAAAAAAAGCTATCACCTTCTTTATATTTTCGCCCAAAAGAAATGTTTTACATTCACCCAGTACGAAGGCGGTTCCATGACCACCTCGTTTTCGATTCACACATATGTGCGCCTGAATTGCTTAGTGCCTCCTTTACTGGAGGTTAGGTCAAAACATGACATCAGATTCAGCTAGTGACATGCCTCAAGACCTTGAATGGTATTGTCAACCTGAACACTAGTATCCCACTTTTTGACTACAGAAACGCCTGTCGCTTATGAACGCCGTAGCCAGTCACTAACTAATAGCGGCCAGCCTGTAATGAGCAGTTTGGAAACCCATACAGGCGACTATAATTCTCGTTTATGAAATAGTATAGCTCAAAGCCTTCCCGATACATGTAATCAAAAAATCAAAACAGCAATCTCCCCACTGAGACTCATTCCGCGAACATTCGCCTGCGAGCGAACCGCTATCACCTTCTGATGACCATCCCTAATGAATATGGTAGTTTAGGTAATTTTAATAGCAAAACCAATTCAGAAACACAGAGCCACAATTAAATATGCTTTACTGTGAACACTGCCTTTCAGCAAATGAAGAGATCTGAGAGGTTTGCATGACAAAAGGTAGAACGGGAACTGTTTTCGTTGACAAAAAAACCTTTCACAACACTTTTCACATGAAGAGATAGTACAAGAAAATGCACAAATTTCATACAATGAACATCGACTGTGTATTAAAACAAACACAATGCCTTTCTAAACGAGCCTGAGCGTGAATAATACCAATCCATGGTAATGATCTGAAGACAGACGATCAATTCTTTGAAGTATATATAAAGCCAAATCTGAGCCAAATATGAATGTATAATTATTATTATTATTAACAATAGAAATAAATAAAACAGGTAGATTCGAGATGTAAGACATAAACCAAATCTATAGTGACTTTCAGAACATAACGATGGAACGAAGCGATTGTGAAAGGATTTTCAATTTGAACACAATGGAGTGACACGATGAGCCAACACTTACTAGAATTGCGCTAAAATAAGATAAAAATACTCGCTGAAAGACTAACAACAATAACAAAAGGTACTGGCGAGTATAAGGATCACCCGCCGATCAGAGATACACTTTCCAGGTTAACCTTGAAGAGTCGAACCTGTATGACTTATCAGAGGCAGTCTGGGATACGAAAGAGATTACGCACAGGCAGGTTGGAAATGAAGCGGGTATATAAGCATGCACACAGTTATGCTCGCGAAAGACAACCCAGAACGAAGCAAAACAAAGAACTGCTTTTTCCAATATGATGAGAGTCGGCGAGATACTTAGCAGACAAGGGCTGCTTTATGTATCAAGTTCATCTGCATACTATCGAAAATTTTCGCAAGATCATGAAATGTCAACTGCTGAAGTACAATAAAGTCGTCGAGGCCCGCTCTGGAAAGTTTCAATAAAATACCATCCAATGTGTGTCACTGCAATAAAAAGAAGAAGAAAAGAATTGGCACTATTTCATTATTACTGCCCCAAATCTCAAATAGCACAAATTTCCGTCGAAACTTTGCCTTTAGAGGTATTTCGATGCCCTGATCACGAATATGATACTTCGTTTTGACACTGGCGCCACTTTGTCACAACGGCTGTTTTCACCAAATTCGCTTGTAAACTTGTCTAGGGCTTATTTGGTGTCCTGATTACGAATATGACATTCGTTTTGAAATTGGCGCGTCTAACGCATTTTTTTGCTCTCCTGGGCCCTCTCACTTAGGTAGAGCGTCTGTGGGTAAGTTTCTGCTGCGGAGGACACCGCGTTGGGTAAACTGCGCATCCCATGGCAAGACGTGAAGTTTGTGAGATCACAAGGTGGGTAGCTTGCTCACCTCTGAGCCCCTTCTCCTCAAAGGCTTAGTCCTGATCGCGATCAAACCAGTGAAAGGACGCAGACGAGCAGAAAATAGGCGAACCAACGTCAATGCCAAAAATAAAGTCATATTCGCGGTCAGGGCCCCAAACGACCCCTATATACGAGCTCTCACCAAATTTGGTTAAAACAGTTGTCGTACCATTTTGCGCCAAATGATCCAGCCGTAAAAAAAGGATCATTATTTGTGATCGACAGACCAACTACTCGGTCCCCACTTTTCTTCACGATTAGGGGCTCAGCCACGGCGAGCGTGTCCGAATTGGTAGTGCCCGCGAACTGCGCTGATGGAGTGTTTTCAGACCTACCTACACAGTTCGCAGGCACTACCAACTCGTCCGCGCTCGCCGCGGCCACACCCCAAATCGTGAGAAGTGGAGGGAGCTGATCGCGAGCAAACCAGTGAAAGGACGCAGACGAGCAGAAAATAGGCGAAACGACGTCAATGCCAAAAATAAAGTCATATTCGCGATCAGGGCCCCAAACGACCCCTATATACGAGCTCTCACCAAATTTGGTTAAAACAGTTGTCGTACCATTTTGCGCCAAATGACACCAGCGTAAAAAGGAATCATATTTGTAATCAAAGCACCGAACTACCTCTATAGGCAGTTTCGACGACAAAAAGTTTGAGATATTGGGGCAGTAATAGTAGAATGGTACCAAAGATTTTTACGAAGGATCAAATGTCAGATCACACAGCTCAAACTTGACACATAGTGAAAAGTATTCCCAAATACCAAGCACAACGCCATAAGCGCATGACGCAAATAGGGATGTGCATAGGAATGTTGGTTAGTGACACAACGTTATGATAAGTCCTTTCGGTGAGGATTACATTACATTACCGGGCCAAAGCATGAATACTGTTTTAGGGTGAATACGATCTCTTGTAAAAGAGGGCCAGTTCTCACAAGAATTTGAGAATAACCTGCTCTGGATACTACGACGCCAGTCACAAGTGTTAAGCATCGCAAACGACTCTCACCCTGATGCCTCTTACCAACTTTTCCTTCGATGCATTCCCTTTTCAACTGGATTTTATGCATTCGCGGCCACACTTCTACCCTCCCTTTCAAAAAAGAGAAGAGCGTCGGGTGCAGACCATACACCACAAGTGACGACGGCCTCCAAGTAAATCTGGTTAGTAGTGGTTCATAGTGATAGCTGATTTTTGGTAAATGATAGTAATTAGTGACAACTGATAGAATACAACTGCAACAGGCTAATCATTTCATTGGCAGAAAACATTTACATTTTGTGGAGGCCGTCGTCACTTGTGGTGTATGGTCTGCACCCGACGCTCTTCTCGTTTTTTGAAGGGAGTATTACGCCTACAGTACGTCACGAGATTGGAGAAAATTGGACGCTTATAAGTTATTGAAAGAATCTCTTGGTAGCGTTCCAGCTTTAATTGAGTGATACTGAAACTCAGAAGCAAGAACAGGTGGATATTTTTGATCACATCTTGTGTCCACCACGAATTTTGGCAATAATGGAAAACTAACCGCCTTGCACAATAAACGCAGTACACCGGGAACTTTCCATTGATCTCTTTCACAAATAAGATGTTGAACACTTCAACCTGCAATACTGTGTTATTCGCTCACATGAAAGAATCTGCTCGTGAGTGACCCAAACATACCTCGCATAGTGTACAATAATGTGTAATTTCGCCTTTAGCACGTGGTTGTGGCTTCAACTGCTTTCCACGAGATGTCGAGAGATTCGCAACCATCTTACAGAACGCCAAGGATCTAATTAGTTGACCTCGTATCAAACTGAAGACCTTCTGATTTGTGAAGCGTATATTCTTTGCC